AGGGCACATGATTAATCCGGTGAGTGCTAAAACCCTACACTATGTCACAAAACTTGCAAGCATCTCAAATTCGTTAACTCCAATATGTTCCAACATGAACATCTTCACCTTAGGTAGTAACATAGCTTTTCAAAAACATTTTTCACTTGCATCTCACCGTGAAACTAGGTCCAATGAATATGCAAAGTTAGTTCACACCTAGTCGCACTTAGATAATTGCTTAAGCATTAGAATTCCCTCTTAACAATACGCCTATCTATCCTAAACCCGGCCACACATTCTATTGTGTCTCACTCGGTGAAAACAAAACCCCTAACATATAACTTTTCCTTTGGGCTTGTTTCCACCTCTTCCTCTTCTTCATGTGTGAACTTGCTCCATTTGGATTGATCACCTCTTATCCAACTCCTAGCCTTGGTCATTATCTTGGTCTAGACTTTACCTAGCTTAACCAACACTTAGCAAAAGGTTAGTCCACTAGTTGTCTCAATTACCAAAACCAAACATGAGGCTTTCACTTATGGCCTTCTCCTTGTCATGGGTGGTTAAAAGAAAAAACAACTTGATAGAGCACTACTTCTCCCATTATTTGTGTAGCCATCATTCTGGAGGTTTTATATTTTTTGCAAATAAATTTATGTTTCTCGAATGATACTATCAAATCACTCCATGTGTATGAATCCTCACCAAGGCATAGATCATTTGCCTTCTTCCTACTTCTAATGGACTTATGTAGAGCTTTGGGTAGGATAGGTGTAATGATGGAGACGTGGCCTGATCTTCCGATATGTATGATAGATTCAATTACCGGAGAACTCAATGTTCACAATTTAGGCTTCAAATTAAGTATGATTTGGACCCCTGCAACTGTTACACCATTGCTCTCTTGGTTATCAACCATGCACAACATGATTGATCTTGCCTAGAAGGTTTTACATGCTAGCGAATCGAACACAAGCAAGAACGTGAAAAACACAACCTAGTATTGCAAATAGAGATGAAGTATATCAATATGACAGGAGGTTCAAGTCTTCAAATGGAAGACTAATCGACACAGTTGAAGAAGAACAAGAACGGGAGTCTTGATTCACAACAATCAAACTCGGTGTTACAAGTGTTATGAAGAATGTCTGTTTCACAATAAAAATTAGAACTCAACAAAACCTAAACTACTAACGTACGGTGGCTACTGATTATATAGTCTTGGGCTTGCATACCCCCTGGACAAGCACCCTAATGGGCTCTAAGAAGACACATGGCCTAACGGACCAAAGAAAAGTGTCACGACACCCTCGTAGATTCTAGACGTAGACTTGTTTCGACGATTCCTATTGACTCCAATGGAATTGAGGTGAGACCAGTTCCATTGAAAAGCTTATAAAACTATCTTTCCAAGCATAGGTAGAACATCAAAAATGGAGTTTGTATGCATCCTAGACGTCGTTTTAGCCATCCTAGAATCCGAGGTGGACTCAAGCTCGAGTTGGACTAGGCCTCTGTTATGACTTGGACGCCCAAGCTGGTCCTCTCCGTCTACATGCCTTGTATCAAAAGGTGTGTTGTCCTCATCACAACTCATCTTTCATTCAAGTCAGGCAGTGTCGAACGTTGTCGGCTGTTTCAGCCCTTCTTCACTAATGTTGTCAACAACATCATCGTTCCTCCACCACCTTTCACGGTGTCCTCATCTGCAAATGAGAAGTAAGTACATCCTGATTTGATATGTTATCTCAGTATGTTTGTTGTTTGTGTCATGCTATTGTTCATGTTGATGATGTTTGGTTCAACTAGTGTGCTAGAGATTTGCATGGTAGTATCTATGTTTGTCAAGATTTATGCCTTGAATTAATCATGAATTTGGCTGCTATTGTTCATGTTGATGATGTTTGTTTCAACAAGTGTGCTAGAGATTTGCATGGTGCTATCTATGTTTGTCATGATTTATGCCTTTAATTAATCATGAATTAGGCTAATAATCCAACAATTTCTATAGTAAAAACATTATATGATGCCGCGTAACATATATTTAATTTTATAATGACTTGTTCCCCTTGCATGACAAGCATTTGACTCTTCAGCTTGTGAAGCCTCGCTCAAGGACATACCACGCCGGCAACACCACTACACTGTGACGCTGAGGCACGCGTGCTTGTCGTCCATGGGGCAGCAGTAGAGCGCCTGGCTGTCGGTGGCCACGCTCGGCAAGGCGAAGTCATAGCGGCTGAACCCGCTGGCCTGGCACGCATACCTGTAGAGGTGCCCACTCCACGCGTTGTTGGGCCTTGTTTAGATTGCATCTAAATTTTAAGTTTTTTTATTCTCTTTTTGTCATATCAATTTTTGAACGTATGTATGGAGTATTAAATGTAGGTAAAAAAAATAACTAATTACACAGTTTGGTTGTAAATCACGAGACGGATCTTTTGAGCCTAATTAGTCTATAATTAAACAAAATTTGTCAAACACAAACGAAACATGCTACAGTATCCATGTTGTAAAAATTTGCAATCTAAAGCAGGCCTTGCTGTGGTAGGGCCTCGTCTCCTCCGCGTCGGGGTCCGTGTTGTTTCGCTAGCTTTGTCCGCGAGGCACCTGCCCATCTGGGAGGGCACGCCGCATGCACAACCGGTCAGTTTCCTGTGCATACAAAATTCGCAAACCTGATGGCGCTTCTAAGCATGGTGCCGGGAGAAATAAGATGAGATCAGTCAAAACCTGCGGCGACGACAAGGGCCAACAGGCAGGCAACAGCAAATGGGTTGAGAGTTGATGTTGCCATGTCGATCAGATGGGTTCTCTGCTCCATGACTCTACAATGACCTTGTATGATTGTGATTTGTGAAGGATTGAATGTTGGTGTTGGCTCTGGAAACTAGAAGAACAACATCCTTCATGGCTCCAAGTGCCACGGGATACGCAAGGGTATCTAAGCAGCCATGGGAGAGTATCCGAAATACTAGTATGGTTTGCATATCCTGGCCTGAGGTGCTTTGCTGGACAGTGATGAATGATCAATGCTGCCACTACATGAGATGGATTCAGTTTTACTTGGTTCTTCGACTAATAAATGGTTGCATATTTTCAATCTATCAACAGTGTATGAGGGGCGAACAAATGGACCCGTAACTGTCGCGGGTGAAATTCTATACCCACACCTGTTAGATATAATATCCACAAGTAGAATCAAGATTTCTAAATATCTTCCAGCAGTTTTTTGTTTTGTTTTCTTCCACTTTTGTATGGTGGAGATTGTTGTTAAGATCCATGCTCAGTAACGTTTGCCCTCTGCTTTATGTGTTGTGCCGTTGTCTGTGTTTTGTAAAATTGTCCCGCTACTTTTGTATCTAAAACGGAAATGCTATGACGTGCTGGACGCACGTCAGATGACCATTCGTGACTTCACCGACCGCGCCTCGTCTTATCCGCCCGCCCAACGCCGATTCACTTCACTCGCTCCCCCCGTACTCGCACTTCACCCGCTCCGCCCGCTGCCCCGCAGTTGCTCTCTCCCGCAGTCACACTCCGCCCGTTCCCCCACCCTCGCTCTCTCCTGCACTCGCTCTCCGCGCCGCTTTCCTGCCCGCTCTTCGCGTCGTTGCCTCGCGAGCTCCCTCCCTCCCTCTGCACGCTCGCTCGCTGCGCCCCCGCCCGCCCGTGCTCCCTTCCTCCCTCCGTCCCTCGCCCTCCATGACCTCCATGCACCCCCGACTCTCCCTGCGACCCGGCTCCCACACCCCACCGAAGACGAGGACGACGGCGACAGCTCTGACAAGGTAGGTTGCAGAGGGATCTGGATCTGAGGCCTTGCTCCTCCTCCTCTGGATCTGGATCTGAGCCCTCCTCCTTCCTTCTCCTCTGGATCTGAGCCCTCCTCCCTCCTCCTCCTCCTCCTCTAGATCTAAGGGATGCGACGGTGGCTAGGGTTCCGGCGAGCTCTCGGGGGCTCAGATCTCGTCGTGTTGTAATAGTTTTTTATGTTGCAATAGATGATTTCGAATGTTGCAATGGGTTTTTTTTTGTTGCAACAGATGTTTTTTACGATGTTGCAGTAGTACTACTTGAGATGTTGCAGTAGGTTTCAGTTGCTTCGATCTCATGTCGTAGTAGTTGTTCCATGTTGTTGCAAGTGTTTTTATTTTGAGCGTTGTTTCATATGCTTCACACCAGTATTGCAATAATATGTTCCAAATATTTTAGCTCCTTCAACCTATTTGTTGTAGCAGTTTATTCGGTGTTGTTGCAATAATATGTTTCAAATGTTTTAGCTCCTTCAACCTATTGTTGCAACAGTTTGTTCCATGTTGTTGCAATAATATGTTCATGGTGTTTCAGCTGCTTCAGCCTAATGTTTCAGCTGTTGTTCATTTGTTGTTGCAATAATATGTTTATGGTATTTCAACTGCTTTATCATAATGTTGCAGCTGTTGTTTCTTGTTGTTGCAATATATATGTTCATGGTGTTTCAACTGCTTCAGGCTAATGTTGCAGCAGTTGTTTTCCGTGTTGTTGCACGTGTTTTATTCTGGCTTTCTATGTTGTTCGGACAGGGAGGGGCGAGCTGGGACGGACGGGGGCGCGTGGTTCGCCGGGGCCTAGCGCGCGGAGGTGCTGGGGCCGGCGGACGTGGGGTGCTGTGGCTGTGGGGGGCGTTGGGCATGCAGCATGCTCGTTGCGGGCGTGGGATGGACGCGACAGGCTGCGGGGGTGATATGAAGGCGTGCGGACTCGCACGACACATAGGCTAGCGAGGCTCTTCGTAGGCATCGTTCGACGAAGACGCAGCGGTGGCAGTTCGCGTGGGCACGTAATCTCAGGGCGAGGGCGTCGATCTATGTTGCTGCCCCGGTCTTCTACCATCACCTGCGGGTCCGCTCTTTGCACACGTCATGTGGGAGGGTGTCCTGATAGCGTACGGTGTGGAGTGCGTCCAGAACAGTATACATGTCCATCGGACGTGCGGCCGTCAGCGCTTCCCTATCTAAAAATATTATCCCGCTGCCTCATTTCAGGTTTGGGACCGGCTGTTCTCGTTGATGTTGATGGTGGGCGTGGCCTTGCCGGCGGCGGCGGCAGCGGCGGCGGCTTTGTCCGCGGTGGCGGCGGCCGCGTGCAGCCGGCTGTGGCAGCTGCCCGGTTCTCCCTGCTCCGCACGCCTCGAGGCACTGCTCTCGACTTCTCCCTCCCTTGCCGTAGTTGTTCGTACTCCGCCCTCGTCTGTCGCTGTCTTTGCCGCCCCTCATCCACCCGCAGGTGAGTCTTGTTCTTCTCTCCATCCCTCCCCCTCTATCGCATCTGTCTCCCTCAAATGGTTGTGGGCTTGGTGGGCGTCGATTGCGCGGCGAGTAGGCGGCGCTGCGAGCGCGGACAAGCGCGTCGTGGAGCAGCGGCGCGGCGGTTGGCGCGAGTAGCGAGGCGATGAGGTGGAGCGAGGTGGTCTGCGCGTGCGCCCGACGGCGCGCGGAGGTGACGACGGCGTCGAGGGCCGTGACGGCGGCCGGGGCAAGACACTGCCGCGCGGCGGGCACCGGCGTCGGCATGGCTGGGATTGGGTTTGGGATTAGATTTTACTGGGCATGTGGGCCAAGTGTAAAAATGAGTGGATTAGTTTATTGTTCGAGGTTCAGTGTTTCATTTTTCCCTGATTGTTTGTTCCTGATGTTGATGATTGCTATCCGTGTTGTGAATCTGTCTTCTTCAGAGCAACCTAGGAGGCATCTCTTTCAGACTTCAGAGTGGTTGGAGTGTTTTTGTTTGTTCCAAAAGGTTTGTTGCTGGAGACGCCTTCATTCCCCTCAGGTCTGCTGTGATTCCTGCCTACCTAGCATGAAAGCAATTCCAAGACACATGCGACCCAAGACACATGGTTCAATTTTGCTATTTTTTTCAGTATTTGTTTTGTTGAAGTTCAGGTTAAGTTTAGTGTTTCCTATTTTCATTTGAAGTTCAGTTGAAGTGAAGTAGAATTTATTTTTCAGTTTTACTTTAGGTTCAATTCAATTTTAGAGTTCAGTTTGTCCATCAAACAAATCTTTGTTTGACCATTAGATGATCTGCAGTCTGGCCATTCAGTCATATGTAGCAGGCTTCTATCATTGAGTTTGACGTTTCATAGTTTTAGATTTTACGGTCTTGCATCATTTTAGGCTTGCATCTCACCACGCTGCCTACTCATGGGTAGCTCTGATAACTGCTGCCTTCAGTATGGTTGCATTTTTTCCTCTAGTGCTCAGTGCAGCAGCAACCTGATAGTAGACACTGCCCAGCTTCATGTTCTTTTCATCAATTTCTAGAAGGAGAAGGGGCTGCAGCTCACTTTGGTTTTTGTTCTGTGCAGGTAAAGCAGGTTAGCAGCACGCAAATCTTGTGGTATGTGCACGTCCTTTTCATGATCTAGAGAAGCAATTTCAACTTATCTAATACATTTTTTTTGCTTCAAGTACAGTTTTCAGTTCAGGTCACCATGTGTCTTGGGTCTTATGTGCTGGATCTTTTTTAAGCTAAGCTAGGGAGCTTGAGTGCTTCATGGCTTTCAGAATGAAATGAAGTAGTCTTAGTCTTGTTAGATTGTTTTTTTGCTGGATCATTCTTTAATATTGTGTTAGTGATTTCTGGCTCTTTGATCTATAAATAGTTAGCTTGTTTCCAACTAAACGAAAAAGGTGGATGACTTGCAATTCTTCCCCAAAAAAAACTTTTTGTTTAAGGTTAAGTGTTTCAAATTTTGGCGTGTTTAACCAAATTATTGTTATCTACATTCTTTTAGAAAATGAATCAGCATAAGAAGGTTGCCCAAGAAATCAATGGAATTTGTAATGATCAAGAGAAGGGCGTACCCAGTGCAGAGAGCTCCTGCTTTGTAATGATCAAGAGAAGGTTTGTTTTTTTATATCCTCATGTATTTGTTGATTTTAGGCAGTGTTTAACATTATATATTTGTACAAAATAGGCCCATGGTGAATCAACTGGATTCAGGGAGAAGCTTAACATGTACTTTGGTGAACATTTGCCTGCAAATGTAAAATATTTTCGTTCTTTTTTCTTTATCAGTTATCTTTTTTACTTGAGTATTTCTTTATTTGTCAATTTTTTTTGTATACCCTTTTGTTTAGGTGAGTTATGCAAGCTTGTGCAGGAGAATTCATACGGCAAGTGCAGTTTATGTATGATGCCTATTGGCGGTGGACTGAAATTTCTGTTTATGATATAGAGACTACTCTATTGTACCTGGTTAGTGCACAATGAAATCCAGTAGGCTTCTTGCTCAAAGTTTTTCAAAGGCTTCATGCTCAATAGTTCTTTTTCTGGGCACTGGAATCTGAATTTGTTTGATGAAAACTAAAATTATTATCTACTGCGTTAGCCTTAAATGACTGTACTTTGTACTACTGCTTCTTGTTTCTCAAATGTCCATGTTTATCTCATCTTTCAGATTACAAACAAGAGGGACCTCTTGTGCTGATGCTTGATAAGAGGATAGAAGTGTTTGGTAGGTTTCCTGCTAGCTGCTACTATCTAGTTCGCACATTGCCTTTTTTATGCAGACTTGTAGATAACACATGGAGATGCATATTTTCATATATTAAGATTTTTTATGCAAAATTTTGGAGACTGCATTCCAGGTTTCAATGAACCTGCATATCTTGATATATGACCGAGTTGGGATTTTTTGTTTACCTTCTTCTGATGATTTTCTCCTAGATTTTGAGATACTGTTGTTCTTGGTGATTGAATTGGATCTATTGAACCTGTTGTCGGGTATCGATATTAGGGATACTCAAAGCAAGAAAGTTAGCACCCACGCTGACTTCCCCGGATGGCTCGAGACGTATTAAAAGGTCTTGCCCGACCCCGAGGCCGCGGGCTCCCTTGGGTGCGGGCTCCGTCTCGCCCAAGGTCGCGGGCTCCGTCTCGCCCGACCTCGAGGACGCGGGTTCCGTCTCGTCCGACGGGGACCCATACCGCCGCCAACCACTCCAGGTGCAAGCGTATGGGCCTGGGTCAAAACTCTGACGCCAGGGAAGAGGCTGGCACGCCTCGATATAATCCGTGGCCATACCGTGCCATGCCTGGGGATTCACATCAAGAACAGTGTCAGACGTGCCAGCGCTGTTCTGCCTAATCCTCGTATGAACGCTGACAGGCGCGTCAGTTCACCACGACGTCCGCCGGGGCGGAGTGGAACGCCATGACCGGCAGATAACTTCTGCGCATGGCGCCAGTGACGACCAGGGCCGCGACATGGAGCGGTCCCTGTTGACATCTACAGGTTCAGCGGGACCCGCATGAAGGTGAAGAAGGACCTGGCAACCCTAAAAGCCTTCCTCTCGCTCTCTCGTTCTTCTCCTTTTCCTCCTCTGCAACCCGTGCTTTCCCTTCGCCTATAAAAGAGGAAGCAGGGCGCCCCACGCAGAGAGATCTGGACACAAGAGCACGACACGAGCACACGGCTGAGCGGCAACTGAGCTCTCAGCACCCGTTCACTCCTTCCACCAGAGACTTGGGATCCTCTCCATCTCTCGTCTGTTTGTAACCCCTACTGCAAACCAAGTGCCGGTAACATGGGCAGCAGCGAACTGGACGTAGTAACGTTCCGCCCGAACCAGTATAAACCCTTGTGTCCTCCGAGCACACCATCCGAGCCAGACGCGCAAATACAAATTTACTCGTCGGTGGTCCGAAAACACCAACACCTGCACATCTTGAAGCCTGTATTTTGGGAAAACTTGGAATGGTCTTACTTTATTAGTAGTTCCTAACAAAAGTAGATGCAGGTTCATCCAGAACTTTTTTGAGAGGAAGGTACTTGTGGTGGACTGATTTTTGTGGAGTACCTGCTTTGCATCTTGTTGGTTTCCTTCTGTTCTTGATGATAGCTTTGTTTGGTCTTGCTTTCCCTTTGGTCCTCATCGGCTTCTCTGTCTTCTACGGCGCTGGCGCCGCGGCCATGTACGTACGTAGCCACGAATGTGATTTGTTTTAGGCCCCGTTCGCTCTGAAAAAACACCGTTCCGACTAGTTTGTTGTCAGAGAAAAATATTGTTCAACTGGTTTGGTGAACATTAACTTAAGAGGGGAAGCAGCCGGCTGACTGGTCTGAAACAGACCAGCGAACGGCCCCTTAGTTTCCTGTTTCCGTGTAGTCTTTCTTGTCTGGTCCCTGCTTTGTTAGCTGGTTGTGTGCTGTCATTTTCCCTTTTTCTGTATTATTTTCTGGAAGATAACTACTATAAAATTCTTTCAGAAGATAACAACTGTAAAATTCTTCCAGAAAGTTAGTCATGTGACGTTCATTTGCTGTTTTTTGGTTTTGTTGTAACATGTGACGTGGCAAGCACTGATTTGATGAAAATGTGGAAGACAACAAACAGCAAAGGCCTCGTTCGCTTGTCTTAAATTTAGCTTGTTTGGCTTATTTTTTCAGCCGAAACAGTGTTTTTCTCTCACAATAATTCCACCGCAACAGTGTTTTTCAGTCAGTTTCAGCCAAAGTTCAGACCAGCGAACGGGGCATTGTCCATGAGATGTGTAGTCAGTCCTAGGAGAATTGTTGGTCCTAGGCAGCAACGGTAGCAAAGCACTAGGTTGCCTGTGGCGGGTTCAACACGCAAAGTCGTAGCCGATGGTTGTAAGAATAATCTTAAGTCGGTTTCCTATTTTTTTTCAAGTTAAAACAAACTACATAAGATTAAACCAAATTTCAGATTTTTTTTAATTGCATAACTTTTTCTAAAACATATTTAGATATAGTTGAAAAAATCATGTGTATAACTTTTTTCTTAAAGTTCCATGATATCTGTTTTGGGCCTAAGCTCAATAAAGTCGCTTATTGACCCTCACTCCCTCAGTGGTCACTGGTTCGTCCAGGCCCTATATCACTCGCACGAGCCCAACCCGACAACTGTCCAATATAATTATTTTTTCGTCGAAAAAAAAACCCAACAACTGTCCAGACATAATGACGATTGTACCCTGAGTCCACGGCCACGAGCCCACAGCTATCAAACCACCCCTGCAAAGCTGCCGTACGGGCCCAGACTCCATCCAGAACGCGATGGCAGATTTGTTATTTATATGAAATCCAATGGGCGGAGATCACCCGACTCCGTATATATACGACCACCCGCTCCCCTCTCCCGACCCCTGCACCCGCCGCGCTCCATTCATCCCCCGGCCCCCGCTCCCCTTCCCCAGCGGGCAGCGGCCGCACCCGCGCCCCCTTTCGCCTCTCGTCTCCCCCTCCCACGCGATTCCATGTCGTTTGAATTCCGTGCGTGAAATTACGGAAGTGCCCCCTGCACCGGCGGGACCCACGCCCCACCGCTTCCTTTCTCTATTTCTCCGGCTCAACCGCTTCCTTTATCTCCTCTACTATTTTCGTGTCCCACCACCAGTCGCCGTCGGGCGATTCCGTCTCTGGCTTGGCGAGCAGGCGCATCCAGGCCGTCGAGCTGTCGATCCACGCGGCGATGCAGGCGCCACGTGGCGGTGGCTTCCTCGGGAAGCGCAAGGAGCGCGACTACTACTACTACCCCTACCCCTCGGTGTCGACGCCGTCGGAGCAGGCGGTACTGCTCCAGCAGCAACCGCCGCCGCCGCCGCCGCCGCCGCCGCTGCTCGCAAGGCCGGATCCGCGTGGCGTCAAGCCGGACCGCCCGGCGGTGAGGTTTGGCGCCAAGCCGCCGCTCCCTCAGCCAGGGGCCCAGGTCGGCGGCAACAAGCTGCTGGCCGGGTACCTGGCGCACGAGTTCCTGCGGTGCGGCACGCTCCTCGGCGAGCGGAGGCTCGAGCCGCCCCACCTGAAGGAGAAGGATCCCACCACCGTGCCCGCGCCCGAGCCGAGCAGGCGCTACGCGGAGGTTTCGCGGCTGCTTATGGCGGGCGGGGCCCGCATCCCCGGCGTCGTCAACCCGTCGCAGCTCGGAAGCTGGCTCCGGATCAAGGAGTGACCGGGTGGCCATGCCGCTGGAGGTCGGGTGCGCGCGGCATGGCCGCATTGCCTACTGCTTCGCCTCGGCGGCGACCGACGATAAGAGGAACCGTTGCTTTTGAAAATAGCAAACGGGTTTGTCATTTCTCTGTCTTTCATTCCCTTCAGAATTTTCGCGTGGTAATTAGTAAATCAACTCCGCTTGTCAGAAAATTAGTGTAGTTGTTGGATGAGAAACTGGAGGCACTACTACTGCTGCTAGCTTTTGCTGCGTCGGTTCACATTTTCTCCCCCGCTGAAATCCTCTGCATCGGCAAAACCTGTGCTGTGATGCATGGTGTGGATGAATCCACCGTCGATGTAAATACATGATAATGCTTTGGTAGCAGCTGTTACTGTTACCAGCAAGTATTAATTTAGCATCATCAATGCTTTCTGTGACTATTAAAATTCAAATGCATGGTTCCCGTATTTGGTGGAAAAAGGATGCGGGCAATTGACCCTCGTCCGCGAATGGCCTTTTGCTTGCGCACATCCCTCATCTCGATCGGTGTTCGTTGAGGAATAAATACGGTAGGTTTCTTTCCGTCTTGAGTTCTTCCTGCTCTGCAGACGTTACTGTGTCTGTGTCTGTGTGGTTTCGGAAGGCATTCGATCCATCATCCCATATTTCCATCCAAAGGTTCACATACACACAGTAGGTGATTATCTCCAGCAGATACGAAGTCCTCTTGGGCCCCGTTTGGATCAACTAACTTTTTTATAGACGGAGGAAGCCGGCTGATAGTTTTGCATGACTTGGGTGTTTGAATAGTTCAATTCAAAACAGGCTATAGGCTAGACTATGAGTTGACAGCCTGTTCCCTCGGTCGTATTTAGCTTATAAGTCATAGCTTATCAGTCAATCTATAAATATTTTCTCTCATACCAAATCAATCATTTCATAAGATTTTCAGCCATGACTTATAAGACAAACCAGCCCAAACGAACAGGTGAGTTATTTGTATCTGCTAGAGCTGTTCTTAGTAGGTAGCCAATTCAAACAGAGTCTTAGTATTTCATCTATTACTAGTACCATTTCTGGTAGTTTAATTGTAAACGGTGACTTTGGTCCTCAAAATAAAAAACTGTAGCAGTTGCTGGTCCAGTCTTCTCTGTTCTCATTCTTCTTGTTCCACTAACGAGAGAGTCTGTGTTCTCGTTCATATAAGCTGCAAATAATTCTGTTCAATGGTCCGCTCTGCGCTTTGACAATGCCGCGGCAGCCACGGAGTTAAACTATGCGTAGTCAACCGAAGGAAACTTCCGTGTTTTAATTTATATTTATATATACTGCATCAAGTCTAGAAAGTGAAAGTCTATATGCATGGTTTCAAATTACCGGTTTATACAGTTAAGCGAAGGTATTTGCTCTGTTCGTTTGACTGATAAGCCATAACTAAAAGTACTGTTGACTGATTTGTTATGAGAAAAATATTATTCGTTGGTTGAAAAAATACGACATAAAGCAAACGAACATAGGGATGAAAAGCATCGCCCGAGTAGCACCGTCTCTTTTACCGAAAGCTCTTCACCTCGGACGCAAGCAAAGCAATGCATCTACTCGGCTTTTGGCCGGTGTCATTGCCACCCTAGTGACTCAAAGTCTTCTTTTGCTGAGACGATTTGATCAACATCGTCTTCGTCCCAATCTTTTCCGTTTGCGTCGAGGCCAGCTTACGCGGCAAGGTCACCAGGCCGCACAGAGGAGACCCGTTGCTTGCACAGGACTACGGACGAGTGGTTGGGTTGGCCTTGCCGCTCGGCTCTTGCCCGACAGCGACGTTAGAGGCCGATATGGCAGGAGGAGGACGCGTAGGGCTACGAGAAAGCAAGCGCAAAGCGATGTATGGGCGGAGCAAGCAAGGCGGTGCGAAACTGCGAAATAACCATGCCTGTTCTTTTCTGCTTTTTATACAAGTGGGAAGCCAGGCCTACAATACAAAGGATGATAAACGCGGGACAATGGCCTGTACTACCAGCACACTAGGGTCTTTGCTCTTGCGAGACGACGCGCAGGTGCAGCAGTGTTTCAAAACTGTTCATGCACACGGACACCGAACTTTTCTGCGTGGATAAATTCGTAGCCCTCGTCGAGGAGACAGATGCGCTCGACACCAAATGCATGGGTTCATTGGCCGGTGAAAGCGGCGGCACTCGGCTAGTACGCCTACGCTAGAAATCCGTCGATTCGGGTCGCTGGCTGACTGTTGGATGGGATGCAGTCATGTGTCGCTGTTGGAAGGGCTGGTTCACATGTATTTAAATACGGTTGCACTTGTCACGAAGCTAGCGGGGTCTACCAGTGGTTTCACGCTTCTCTTTCCGCGAAACAACTTCAATTCTGAATTGTTATTAAAAGGAAACCTTCAATTCTGACCAAGCCATCGACACCCGTCGTGATGGCCGGTCGAGTGGCTGGCCCGCCGACCGGTCGATCACTCGATCGAATTTTTAGCAGCTGCCAGCTGGGTCTTACTACTACTGTAGTTCCGACTCTGCACTGTATTTCTGAAAGATTTATTTCTTATAATTTTTTATGAAAGCCTTGCCGGCTTTACATCTGTACAACACCTAGGACAGTGTTAGGCAGCTGCATATGCCGGTACAAACGCACGGTGAAGTATGGACAATCATGGGCGAAAGCAATAAAGACACGCGTCCCAGCATTTGTTTCGAGTAATGCTAAGCACTAAGTGCAGTCTCAGTCAAGAAACCATGAAATGGTTTCCGATGTTATATAGACATTATATTTCTTCAGAATATATTTTTCAATAAAGTAGTAACATACCTTCTCTCTCCTATTATTCACTTATCACAATTTTTTCTATCTTTGTTCTTGTGTAGGTATAGTTTTTTTTAATAAAAAACACATGTCTCTTCCTTATTTCTAGTACCATATCAGGCACTCCCCACCAAGAAAGTAGATAGTTTATATGTTCATTAATTAAGTGCCAACTAAGATAAAGATGTGGCACCAGAAGAGAATGAGATGAGGAAACGGTTTCTTAGATCTTGTTTGATATGGCTCAACTTCACCAGTGAAACATTTTATTTAGATTTAGCTTCACGAGTAGCTATACGCCTCCGCCGGTGAAGCTTTTCATTGAAAACATAGCTTTTCATTGAAAACATAGTTTTCTATGTGTATTGTCTATATAAATTAATAGACATAAAAATTATCTATAATTTTTAGCATTAGAACTGTTTTTAACATTTTTGCTTAGTGAACATCCTAATTAATACGGTCAAATGATTTGCTTGAAACGCTTACTAGAATTCATGTGGATACGGTTAAATGATCCATGTTCGCTTGAACTTATCACCCTGGCTTAACAGTTATAGTACAGTATTTTTCTCTCACAACAAATCAACTTCAGCCGACTTATAAACCGCAGAAACCATCGGCCGAACAGCCGGCCGACGACGCGGCGCCGGCCACCATCAACCAAGACGTTCGTTTAGTGCGGGTCGGGGATGAGGCCGGGCATGATCAAGACGTGCAGCGATCGTCGCTGGCTGCATGGCACTGGATGGATTCATCAGCAGGTCGCGTCGGGTCCCTATCCGGCCATCCGGAAGAAATTTTTCTTTTACAATAGGATACCACGACAGCGACGCATCTTTACAGACGAGTCGTCTCTTGTATTGTACATCATTTGGCTAGGATAGGATAGTACTCCTATAAAACAACAGCCCCCCCGGATGCAGAATTACCGAGTCAAGCCACGAGCCCACGACCCGAGCGTCTGTTTGTGTGTGGTCAAGCAAAAAGGTTCTTGCCAAGTTAACTTTAGACTTCGGTTTGGGATTTAGCTTTGCTGACGGAGCAACCTAATCGTGATGTCATCATGCTGTTTGGTTCAGAAACTGTAACGCAAATGTTATCGTAATAAAAAAACACAGGTAACGTTAATAAAGAAACAGATCACTTGATTTGTTTGTTAAATGGAAAGGAAAGATCTCAAGCGGGGCCCACATCTGGGAAGATCTGGAGCGGAGAAGACATGCAGCTAGCCTACGTCCATTCTTATCTCCATTCATGAATGCATGCGCGCAGCATCCGCTTACTTGAATGCGCCTCGTCAAGATGCGGAGCGGAGCGGACGCACCACAGGTATCGATTCGCGCTCTTACAGCAGGGGTATGGATGAAAACAATACGGATATTTATTCGACCGTCCGTTCGACCGAACAAATATGAATACTTATCTGGATAGCTACTCGGATATCCGTTTTTTTTTCTGGATACGGATACTAAAACGGATATCTTAGGCGGATATCAAATACGGATGTAATATCATCGATATCCGGCGGATATCGGATAATCCGGATAAGTATCGGATATATCCGGATATTTAAAAACGGATATTATCTGGATATTTATTCAAAATTTAAAAATCACAAATTTGAACCATCCAAACTATCTCAAATGGAAAGTTGACCAAAACAACAATTGTAGATCTTGATAAGTTGAACAAACTTGGTATTCAAAACTTTTCAATTTGAAGTCATTTAGAGTTCATAATACTAGAGTCAAAGTGTTGTTTTTTCATTTGACCAAATTTGACTTGGTCAAACTTGCTCAAATGAGACACTAAATGACCTCAGATGAAAAAACTCTGAATACCAAGTTTGATCATCTCAGCAAGATCTACAATTGTTACATAGCTCATTTTCCCATTTGAGAAAGTTTTATCAAACACTAGTCATAAATTCTTGAATCTCATATACACTTTCTGAAACTATGTCACATACTTGTGAAATTTGAACTATATTTTGTTCAAACTTTCTCAAATAAAAAAATGGCCTATATAAGGATTGTATATCTTGATGAGATGAACAAATTTGGTATTCAAAACTTTTCAATTTGAGACAATCTAGGGTTCCGAAAACTAGTTTGTAAACGTTGAAATTTAAAAATCACAAATTTGAACCATCCAAACTATCTCAAATGGAAAGTTGACCAAAACAAAAATTG